ACTTTTCTAAATCTTTTAACAAGATTCATATATGTTTATTTCACTATGTTGTTACATTATAGTCATATTTATGCCACAATGCAACCTAGTAAAAATTAAATAATTTAGAATGATAATCAATTTTCTAAGTTACTTTTCAAATATGAATATGTTTATAAAATATATAATTAATGCTAACAGAAAGGGAGAATGAACCAGATCATCAGTTTTTGTAATTTTTCTATTGTAATTTGTAGATAAAAATTATCCAGTTGAAATATGTTTTTCAGATGTGATCAGTGACTTCAATTTGCTTGAACATTTTATATTCCTCAAAATAAAAACATGAAAAGCAATACAGTCAAAAGTCGTTAATCCGGACTCGTCGGGACTTCGGCGATTCCGGATTATCGATTTTTCCGGATTATAGATCATCAGTTTAAATCTCGTAAGATGGCATGCAGAAATTCTAAAATTAAAAATATGAAACCGTAATTTATGAAATAAAGTATAATTATGATCTAAAGGGTATCAAAATTTACAAAAAAAAAAAAAAAAAAAAAAAAAAGCTTAATATTTATTTGTTTACTTTATTAAACATTTCTTTCAATGTAAGTTAAGTTGCTTCGTTTTATGTGATAATACTTTCTCTTTAATTCTATAAACAGACATAATTTCTTGTTCAGTTACAAAGTCCCGCTGTTCAAGTCCCGTTAATTGCTGTGCCGAGAATACCGACTAACTTGTCAATCGAAATTTTTTCGTTTTTACTAACCTCTCTGTCACATTCTTCATGTCTTTATCCATTTTTTGCAGCAATTCCACTTTTTGTTTGTTGGACATCGAAACATACTTTCGTTTTGTAGATCCTTTGGAAGTTCCAGCATCGGAAATTCTATTTGACATAATCGAAAGTTTCAAGTTTACTTTTATAAAATTGCTCTTACAGTCTGCAAAAAATAATAAGCGGGATCCAATTCGAAGTTTAAGGAACAACGCAATCATTAACATTAACTGAAATATATAATTAGATAATTTTAGCTTACACCGTCTGTTATACATTAAACGCGCGCAGGCAAAACGTATTCTGCACTTGCGCACACGCATATGCGCAGTAGTCAAGGTCTTACGCGCACGCATAAAACGCCTGTGCGCATGTGCCAACGCGGCGCATGCGCAGAAAGTTTTTAGCTTTGAGGTCCGGATTATAGATCATTCCGGATTATGGGTGTCCGAATTAACGACTTTTGACTGTATTATTTTTCTGTAAATATAAAGTGTGTCATAATTATGCACAAAATAAACTTGTATAGATTAACAGTAATATTATTAGTTGAATTCTTATTTTTCTATTCATGTGCTTAATTAAGTGTAAAATAAATTCACATAGATTAAAATATATATAAACAGAAGCCAATTTTACCAAAAAAAAACCTCTCATATTTTATATTTTGAAAAAAAAAAATTAAAAATGTCAGCTATGACGAAATCTTTGACTCGTGGATCAATTGCTGTATTTTTAATTTTAGCTCCTCTTTTTTGCTCAAGTCCGTAATACAGAGGAGGAAGGAAGCTACGTATTTTCCAAACAGGACTTCAGTATTATTTTCCACTTCCTGCACGTTTAAAAGTGCAGCGGTAGCAGAAGAAATTAAGTCCTGAATATCGCTATCCTCCCTTTTATATACGTATTTTGTAAATAAAATCGACTTCTATTCCTACCATCCACGATCTTACAACCAAAGCTTTACTACTATATGGGTAATTTCGAGTAGTGATCCTTCAGAACTTTCATCAGATTGGTTGATCTCTACCCAGGGCAGAGCTGCAGACGAAACATTTTCGACGAAGTTTCAAAATATCACGCGTAGCAGGTACATCTTTTCCGTAGCTACACGGGACTTCTCTTCCACCGGGGCTGTGTCTTCTAGGAATCCTTCCGTTTAAACCAATGCTCTCAGAATCTCGTTTCTGAGAAAAGTCCCGTCTAACAGGGACCGTCGCTAGATGTGATAACCTTTTAACGATCCATTTTTCGTCAGAAAGTCCTCCACGAAAGTATTTCTTCCTTAAAGCAGATAGCCATCGTTCACTTTACCTAACCCACCGGTTCTCAAACTGTGGTACATGTACCACTAGGGGTACATTACAATATTTTTAGTGGTACAGTTTTTACAGAAAAAATTAAATGAATGTTCAAAATGAATGTACGATTGCTACCCTTTTAAAAAATTTTTTTAATCTTTATTATTGAGAAATATATAGATTTTTCAAGTTTTTGTCTTTTACGGCTCTAGTTTTAATGTTGAAATGACGACTTTTCCAAGAGTTTCGAACAACTTCCCGAAGTTACGATTTCCAAAAATCGTAGAGGCACTCCAGTATATTGGTAGCATACTTATTTATATTTTATTGTAATGTAAAAGATTTTTGCACGAATATAATTAAATAATATAAATTTAAAGGATTTTTATCGTTTGATTATATACACTCCATTTAGGAAACATTAATTTTTAATGGCGAAATGCTTTTATGATGATACATATATTTTTGTTTCAGATTTATGTGGTACAGAATTTGAAAAGTTTAAGAACCTCTGACCTAACCTAAATGATCCACCCAACCCAATCTTGTTTAGCCATCGGCTGCTATACAACAGTGGTCTGTAAATTAAATGAATTAAACAAGGAATACATAAACGAGTTTAACTTTAATCCGCTATACATTTATTTTCACTCAAGATTGTCTCTCCTACACACTGTAGTTCAAAAGGAAAATGGAAAATGTCTCGGGAATTAATAAGTGGTTTTTGCAGAAATGAAAATAATAGGATGCAAATTTTAAGAAGTCAGGATTCTTTATTGTTTACTTATGGTGACTTTTGACATCAGTTTTATCAATCACATAAGCCAACCACAGTATTACCTTAATCAGCTAGAATTTAGAGGTGATCGGGAAAAAAAAAAAAAAAAAAACAGAATTAGGGACTTAAAAATTATTAATTATGTCAAAAAAGACTTAGATGTTATAACGGGGAGAAAGAAGGGAAACTTCAGCGTTTATACCTTTTTTGAAAATTACATAGTCAGTTATGAAATTTTCGATATAAGTATAGTTAGATAACACATTTTTATGTTATAAAAAGGGCTGTTATTTGTTTATTTATTTTTTGAAAATTATTCAATAATTCATATTCGTGAGAGAAGAAAATTAACATAATTTCTTTCTATGATTACCTGTTGACTTATCTATTGGCTATCTACTTTAACAAATCATTTATTCATTTCTTAAAAGCAATAAATAATAATTGTAAGGTATTTTCTCCTTCCTTTCCGCATGTTTCCGGGGTTTAATTGGAAGCCTACTCGACGCGTATTCGACAGGTCCAGATTTTGAATCCCGGCGAACGCAATGCACGTTTTTCACGACTCCTACTTAAAAATAACCTGAGGAGTCTGCAAGTCGCGTCCGAACTAAAAGATGGTGGACAATAATTCGTCACCACCAAGATTTGGCAATTGGGTCCCCTAATCCCCAGTTGCCATTTAAAAGGTGGAATATATAAGGTTTTTTCTCTCTCCTATCAGCATGCTTTCGTGGTGTAACTAGAAACAAAGTTGACGTTATTCGTAAGGTCCATGTTTCGAGTCCCGGTGAGGGCACTGCACATCTTTCAAAAAACCCCTCATGTCTCTACATGAGAATTGTGATAAACATCTGTCGATTGGGGTCAATTTCACAAAAAAACTGAAAATAATATTTTGTCTAATTAAGGACTTTATTTTAACCCTAGACTTCGCGTGTTGCCTCTTCATTTTGCATTTTAATTGCATGTTCTCTGTAGATTTATTAATTTGTCTCCGATGAAAGGAAAATCTCATAAAAATGTCATCCCGAAATCAGCAAAGCTGAATTAAAAACTGACTGAGGCTCCAATTTTCACTTTCCTTAAACTTCCTTGACTAAAAATAGAGGATGAGTAAAAAAAGAAAAGGGAGAAACAGCTCATAATTTTCTTCAAAAATACTTTGCTACACTATAAACACTTTTATGAGTATTGTTTACATTATTTAACAATGCAGCTCCAACAAAACCATCAGTCACTGAAACGCCCTCTATTATTTTTCATTTTTTACTTGGAATGCTGTAAATCGTGGGAAGTAAGGGACTTTATGAATAGGGACCCGTAAGCTGTACTTACGCCACTGGGTACAAGTAGGATATTCTGGCAATGAAGAATGAGTCATTTGCCAATCTGGAATTTTATAAGTGGCGGAGATGAGGAAAGAGTGGTTTTTATATTGATTAGTGTATGTTTATTATGGTTCTTGGAAACAGCAATACATATTGGAATACAATATGCGGCTGATTTTATTAACCAGCGACTTAATAAGCGACGGTATCGTATATATATCTTTCTCACTTGGGCGCTTTTTCTGAAAGATCTCATGGAAGACAAATAAACAGACTTGCTGTCTTACGGGGAAAGCACCTGTTTAAAGTCGAGAGCATAGCCTTTTTCATGGCTGTTATGGAACTCGCAATTTGGGGGGTAAATTTGAAGATGTTAAGAATGAGTGTTAAGTTGTGAAATCTGTTTTTTTTTTATACAGCTTTTGCAATAAAAGCAAAAATATGTCAGAAAATTCATAAGGATATCACATTTTTATTTATTTAGAATTTCATTTATATTTTGTTATTTATTTCAGGACATTATTAAACGAAATTAATTAAATATTTATTTCAGGGCAGTAATGTACGAAAATAGATGAAGCAAATCGTTACAGATAAAAAGCAAAGATATTACCTGCCAAATATCAGAATGCAAATCAAAAATATCAAAAATCTATTTGAAGCGTTTTTTGATTAAGCCCATTGTTATAAATAGAAGCGTCATTTCTGTATGTATTCATAGAATAAACGATTTTTAAAATTGCATGAAACATCTGCAAAGTAGATTTCACGGCGGGCATGAAAATTTAAATGACAGAACAAGGAAACGACAAACATGCAGGTGGTCCCACTCAGAAAAATCTTGTGACATCTGGCCGAGAAGTGCTCCACTGACAGATCTGTGAGCGACAAGGTTTTCTGCACTCGACTTTCGAAGTTAGAGAAGCGGATTTTATTTTGCATACGTAAATTTTTTGACGCTATTTTGTCTTCAGTAACATTAAAGCTTTCTTTATGGCAATATTTCTTTAACATCTATAAGAGAAGGTAAGAATTTGTTAAAAACTTATATATTAAATGTTCTAAATCAAAAAGGTAAGGCATAAAAGGTAATCATAAAGGTATGCAGTAAACAACCCTGATTTTTCTCTATTTTATTGCAGAAAGTTTTAGAGAAAATATTAAAGCAAATTAATCTTTAAGAACACTGAAAGTTGATAATAGTGACTGTTAAACTGAAAAAAAAAAAAAAAAAAAAGGTTGGAGAAAAGTAAAACAAAATAAAAGAAATTACGTGCTTCAAGAAATCAGAATTTCTGTGCATAATTTATTTCTATGCCAGTTAATTAATTCTACGGGTTTTTTAATTCGCTATTGATTCATATTTTTAACGAAGCTTTAAGTATCTTACTGAATTAAGTGTAATACCTTGAAAAATATAGCATTTTAATTCTATTTTTAGTTAATTCTGAAAAAAGGGTAGTTTTTCATATGAAAAGTTTTATAAATCTACGCAACATGAGACTTTTTAGTCTCATTTTAGTCAACTTTAGTCTCATTCTTATAATGTATTGCATATTAGTGTGAAAGTGTGACAATATACTAAACAGTTTGATACCTTTCGAATATAATAATTAATAAATACTTTTTTATTTCTTTCTCTTTGTCCTTCCCATTCTATCAGGAAAAGTGAATTTTATTAAAGATTTTTTGTAAAAATAAAAGAAAGCGCTCAGTTTCAATTGAAAATATGAAATATACCTCTTTGCCATAATAAATATATAATTATATGATTGCTAATATGAATTAGCATGTCACATTTTATTTACAAATCTAATTATCACAAATTTGAAAATAGAAAATAAGTGATAATTTAATTACATAATATAATTATAATCAATTTGATTTCATAATGCTGTTCTCATCAATTTGATTTACGTAATGGAAATTTTCAGGAATACAGACGTTTAATAGCTGCAAAACAATAAATTAATGAAAAGCTAATTATAAATCGTAAAATAGTGTCTTGAGAATCTCATGATAAGAAAATACATTTTTCACTTGTATTAATCGCTTTATAATTTAAAACTTGAAAACGTAGCAAAATTTTCGAAGACATTCTTCTTCTTCTTCTTTTTTTTTTTTTTTTTTTTTTTTCTTGTATAGAATACAATATTACAAATAATATTCAGTGTAAGATTGCGTCTTTAAATAATTTTTATTCTTAATACATAAGACAGTTATTTTGGATAAATATAACAAATGTATTAAGTGTTAAGTGTTACTTCCCTGAAATTATTTCGTGCCTATAAAAGCCTTTATGAAACACTTATATTAAATGTTATCACCGAATGAGATAATTTATGTGGGCTAATTTGCCCAGTTCTTTAAAAAATCGGTTTAAAATATGTTAATATAGTAAATTGCAATTTAATATTTCTCTTTATATCATATACTAAAATTAAATTATATTAATCAAAAAATGTATTATAAATTATTTAATTTTAAATCATATTTTTAAAAAGACATTAAAAATTCTTTTTCATCATATGTTAAAAATAGAGATTTAAAAAACTTTTAATATAAATTTCGATTTAATGTTATTCTTTTATCATATATATTAAAAATAAAATTCTCTTATTATATAATTCATTAAAATGATTTAATTTTAAATCACATTAAAAAAGACTTAATTCTTTTTTATCATATTGAAAAAGAAAGAATTAAAATTCTTTTATTATTTATTCAAATAATTACATCTGAGCATGTGATTTCGAGAAGTGTTTATTTAGCTAAGTTACACAGAAATATTTTTGCTTTTAAATGTTAAAGGAGCATTTAAATCAATCTCTCTGCAATTTAGATATGGAGAAAACTCCACTGTCTCCGAGACCCAACAGAAGACTGCAGTCCTATGATTCCACCAAAAATTCAGATGATTGCAACAGGCTTCGAGAAATTCCTGAACAGATTGAAAGTAGTCAATCACTGTTTATCGGTGATCCTGAAGCTTGGCTGTCTCAAATGAAAAGAAAGCACTGGAAGAGGCGACAAAGTAGTGAAAGTTCCCTTATTCATATTACAGGAACCGGTACTATATTAGAAGAAACTCTAAACTGCGGACAGTGCTACAAAGGTGAGAAATCCATATGTTTTAATAACATATTAAACAGAAAAAAAAAAAAAAAAAAACTGCATGTTTTATTACACAATTTTTCAAGTTTGTTCTTTTGAATACCAAACAATTCCATATATCACGAGATTTTAGTTTTATTGGTTAATATTTATTACATTCGTCCAAATCCATAAGTGGTCTAAACAGAGCTTCACTGCTAGAAACCAGACCTTGTTACGTCAGAAAAACTGGTATAAGGATTTTGCCTAAATGTTCTAACTTTTCAATTTTATGCCACTTGCCATAAAAGTTGACCAATAATATCGAAGCACACAATCGGTTGACAGTTTCGCTGAGTCAGCTACATATGTACGCATGCACAAATTTCCTTTCCCTGATAGGCTATGACTTAAACTCTGCTAAATAGGTGTAAAGGGACTTTTATATCTCAAACCACAAAAATTTATGACTCTAAAATCATCGTCTGAACGAGCTTTATAGATCGAGTTACGAGATTCATTCAGATATACGTAATTTACCGAGTATTATAAGACTTATTCAAATATACCGAATAACACAACTGTTATATTCCGTGGCTCCAAAATATAACGTACATTGTTGACAGATTAAGAAATGATGATAATGCTATCGAAAAGAAATAAAAAATTAGAATCTAATTTTGGTGTTTCGTATCAGATATCTGAAAGGCTGCAAACAAGAATACTGTTTCAAATTATTTAGTTTACCGAAGACAAATTGACAAGCGCTTTAACTTACGTTATGAAGGTTGCATGAATTGTTGAATAAAAGTATTGTCTTATTGCATATCAAGGATACCTCCCGCAACTTTTAAATTGACAAGTAACCTCCTAAAACATTTTGCAAGTGAACATTGAACTATGTTGTCTAAAGCCTAATATAAGATATTGTGTAAGTATTAACAGAGCTATCTAGGAACGTTTCTTGCCTATCTCATTGCATAGACACTAATATGCGTGAAAATCAAGGAAATATCTCTTATTCAGGGCATTTTAAGGAAACTTCGGGATTTTAGGGCTTGACGCTTGAAGAGTTTGCCTAAGGTTTGTCTCCAAAAACAAGCTCAAAAATGATTTGATACGCAAAATAAGTCTTTTATGAGGTAGGAATTCAAAGATTATGTGTTTAGTAGAATATGTAAGCACAACCTGGTAATATGGTGAATATTTTTAATATTTATTACATTATGATTAATTTATACAGATGATTATTTTTCATATTTGAGTGATCCATAACTTTAATAAATGACTGAAGTTACTAAGAATTTGAACTTGGTGATAGAATTAAAATAATTGTATCTTAACAATTTTCCGTCTGCTGATCTTCCGTTCTTAGAAATGAATAAAATCAAATAAATAATAAAACTTTTTTTTATATTTTTTATGAAATTTCTGAATACAAATTATATAATAAATTATTAAAATTTTGCGATAATTAAAAATGTGCAAAAATTTTCAAGTGTAATTCTTCACGAGACTCATTCAGAAATTCAGATAATTAAATTTCTTTTAGGTCTTTCTGTAGTTAAAGAGGGTAGCCAAGAACTAGATGATCTTCCTCCTGGTGTTGGTCAATATGATGATTTTCACACCATCGACTGGCTAAGGGACTTAGCCCGTGACAGATACAGACACAAATATATCACCAGAAAGATGAAAGAATCTGTCTCAGCATTAATAAAAGGATATTGTGATAAAGTATCGGGATGGATTTGCGTCTTTTTTGTAGGAGTCGCAGCTGGTAAGCAGGATGTTGAAGTTTTCTAACATAGCCAAGTCTTGTCGATAAGTTCTGAAATATTTATTTATATAACATATATTATAGGTTCATTGGCTGGCTTTATAGATATCGGAGAAGGCTGGATGAAGGACCTGAAAGATGGTGTTTGCCCACAAGCATTTTGGCTCAATAAAGAACAGTGTTGTTGGTCTTCCAACGAAACCTTTTATGAAGGAGATGCATGTGACCAGGTTATACGGCAATATTATTTTCTGCATTTATTTTAGTGAAGGATTTAATCAAGATATTTTTCGTTATTGCATTTTGCATAAAAGCAAATTTTATAAACTTTATACTATGGAAAGAATTAAAACTCGTACTTTTATTGAAAATCAAAATGAATACAAAGCTTTCACTTCACAACATTTTTTTAAATTTAAATAAACAACGTAAATATAGGATAAAAAGTTTAAATTAGCTAGAATTACCAGATTTTCTAATGCATTTGAAATCTTATATAAGTAATCAATAATAATGTTACTACTACATTGTATGTATGAATATACATATGAATTGTACTAAATTGGATGTATATATATGAATTTTACTACTAAACACGTAATCTGCATATCCCTTTCTTGTATAAAATATAATTTCCATCTTCCTCACTATTTTATATTTAAGGTTTAAGCATTTTGACATTACGTTAGAAAAATTTTGATTAATTTGAAAAGTATTAAAGAAATGTCCTTCATTGTCAATCTTTTAATTCCAGTGGTCATCATGGAATGATATCCTTCACCTAGGAAAGTCGTCAGTTGATGAATACTTACTATCATACGCGTTTTATGTCGGCTGGAGTGTGTTTTTTGCAGCACTAGCTTGTAACATGGTCAAAACGTTTGCACCTTATGCATGTGGGTCCGGTATACCAGAGGTAATATATTTTTTAAAATAATATCTTATTTTGTTTGCGCTGCTTTCTATTACAGGAAGCGCAAATTCATTTCAAAATTCCTTGAAGGTAAAAAGTGTCCCTAAATAAATGAGTTAAAAAATTTAATAGATCAATGATGTAAAAGAATATAAATATAATTCACTTCTGCTGAAAAAATAAGCAACAAAAGCAAAACACGGCATAAAACAAAAAGTATTTAATGGATATGCATGAAATTGATCCATGAGATTTGTGTGGCATTACTAGACCCCATAGCAAACAATAAAACAAAGGTATACAAAAGCACATGTATTACGACCATTTCATAGCAAAAATGTGCTATGAAAACATCATGCTAATAACGGGTATGATGCCCTCTAGCTGAAATGCCTGTTTGACAACAGCGAGGCAAGCTGGCAATAATGTCGTTTATCATTATGTTGTGACAGTAACTCCCATTCCTGTAATAATGCATGGCGGAGCTCTTGGAGGGTGCCTAGCGGCACACTATGACCTGCTATCTCTCATCATAACATATCCCACACATGCTCTATGGAATTCAGGACGATCTAGCAGGCCCCTACAGATCTGGAACAGTTTTACTCTCCAGATAACTCCATCCCAGTCAAGCTCTATGAGGCCGGGCGTTATCATCCATAAATACCACTTCGGTACACATTGCAGCGATGAAAGGATGTACAAAAGAGTGTAGGATTTTGTCGCGATATGACACCTGTGACGAAACCAACAGGAGTCACGTATAGGTCAGTGTGACCGTTCGTTGCTATCCTCACAGCCCATGAAAGTAAGCCTTCTCTTCTGTAATGATCTCTTTCGACGATGTTTGGTGCCCAATTGCATATCCCTGTCTTTTGCCGTGCCATTGCCCTTCGATAATCGTTCTGAATGTTAAATAGAGACTCATCCGTAAAGAGTACGTGACCCCACTGCCCTGGCGTCCAACTGCGTTATTCACTGGCCCAATTTAACCGCGCTCTGACATGCGATGGGGACAAAGAAACACAAACCACGGGTCGTCGGGCGTACAGTCCACTTTCATGCATTCGACTTGACACAGTTTGGCGAGATATGGGCCGTTCGGCAGCAGCAGAGAGGTGCAAAGAGATTCTTTGTGCAACGCCAGCTGACGTTAGTGAGAAAGAGCCGTTAGTGAGAAAGCAATCGTTTGTTGTTGTGGTAATCCTCCGGCGTCCAAACCCACGCCTTCTGCAGGGAGTTTGTTCCTTTCGCTAAAGATTCTACAGACTGCTGATGATAGTACGATGCACATTCAGCTCTCTCACAACAGCGGGTTGTCTTGCACCAGCTCGCAGTATCCCGACAGCCCTCCAACGCATTTAATCATGCATATGGTGTCTTCGGCTCATACAATCCGCTCTAGTTATCTCGGATTACAGGAAACTATCGCTGCTTGCGAACTGACGCGTAGATCCGGCATGCCTCTTTTTAAGGCGTTGTGGTGTGTCTTCAGATTACGTTTAATGCTAATTTTGGTTACCTATTTGCATTCGGCGAGGCAACTTCATATGTAAATTGCATGTTTTAGTTCCCCTTTCAGAGTTTGTTGCTTATTTTTTGAACATGAGTGTAGTTCATACTACTTGAGATTTTCGCATTGCTGAAAACAAAACAAAACAAAACAAAGCAAAAAAAAAAAAAAAAAAACGGAAGAAATGAGTAAAAAAAAATTGTTATAAAAAAATCCGATATTATCTTTATACTATACGGAAAGAAGCAAAATCCGTCCTTTTACTGAAAACCAAAATGATTATCAACCTTTCATTTTAAACATTTTCTGAAATTACATAGATTATAAAAATTGCCTGCCATCATCTCAACAGTTATTCACAACTATACTTTCTCTATAACTTTCACACACATTTATTCATCTGGCTATATTTTTCACATATTGGACAAGTCATGCAGGGGGGATGTCAGCAATGGGATTTTTTCATGTATTTTTTAACAAATTTTTCCTTTTTGCGGTTTTTTCATTTCATCAGATTTCCACATCTACTTTATGCTATGATATTTGTAAGTATTTTAATGTTGACCTAAATTTGCTGTGTTTAGAAACAACTCGTGTGGTATGAAGTACAATAGTTTTATTACTTTATGTCATTTTTTTATTCTACATCAAAGTATCTTTCTTTACTACTGCTAATAAGCACGTACCGTTGTTTTTTTTTTTTTTTTTTTTTTTTTTTTTTTTTTTCAGTTTCTTTATACACTTCTTTTTTCAGTTTTAATTTTATATATATATGTATATGTGTGTATATATATATATGTGTGTGTGTGTGGATGTATGTGTATATAAATAGGGAACAATAAAATGTATTTTCATTACCAGATCAAAACCATTTTGAGTGGTTTTATCATGAGAGGCTATCTTGGCAAGTGGACTCTCGTAACTAAATCCATCTGCACTATGCTGGCCGTATCTGCTGGGCTGAGCCTCGGAAAAGAAGGACCTTTGGTACATATCGTATGCTGCATCGGGAATATAATATCCTATTTCTTTCCTAAATACGGTAAAAATGAAGCTAAAAAGAGAGAAGTAAGTGCAAAATCTTAATTCTTTATATAGATAATGAAAAATACAAAATGTTTTCAGACTTCCATTTTTTATCCTTTTCTTTTATTTGTACTGTACAAAATCTATCATTTTTAATGCCTTGGGAATTTCTATACACAGGTTAATTTGAAGCTTAATTTGAAGCAGTTTGAACTTTTTTTTTCTTTTTTAAAGATAGTTTGACGTCAGAAGATACTTTATTTGTTCCTTTCTGTCTTACAGACTAGAATTATTTCCATGAAAATTACATGCAATTATTTTAAAATTTTTTCTTACAGAATTGTTCTTAATTGGTTTAATAAACAATTTTGCTCCCAAAGAGAAATACTTAAAATTTAGCTACTCTTTAGACACCCAAAATTCTTATCTTTTGCAAAATATCAAATTCAGCTGACAGTTACCCTTCATAGTTTAATAAATTTAGTTATTAATATCTAATGAGGGGAATTTTTCCTTTTATTCTCAATGAAAACAGAAAAAAGAAACCAAATGTACCTGAACCTCCTTAATGCTTTCATAAGAAGCCGATTCCCTCAGGCGAATACTATGTTCTATATTTACATGTAAGGCACATGTTCAGATTTCCATTATGAAAAGTATAAGCTATTTCTCCCGCCTTCTTAGCAGGCCATCGTGGTGTAGTAGTCAGTAAGTTCTGCGCATATTCGAGAGATCCGTAGTTCGAGTCCCGGCGAGGGCATTGCTCAATTTTCATCTCTCCTGCTTTCAAAAAATACCTAATGTCTCTACAGTGGCGTCCGAACTAAAAAAAAAAGGTGGTGAAGGACGATTCTCCACCACTAAGATTTGGCAACTGGATCCCCTAATCTCCAGTCGCTCTTTAAAAGGGGAGTATACAAGGTATTTCTACCGCCTTTTTAGTATGCCTTCGTGGTGTAGTGGTTAGTACGCTAGGCGCGTTTTCAAGTGGTCTGTGGTTGGAGTCCCGGCGAATGCATTACTTATTTTACATCTCTCCTGCTTCGAAAGAACCTAATGTCTCTACAAAAAAACAATTGGGAGGATTTGAAGATTTTTATGTGATGTGGTCATAAAAATACGTATTTAAATTAGTTTGATTTTGATACTACTTTTTATTAATAAAACCATTGGCTAATTACTTTAATTATTGCTAATTGCCTTAAAATATTGTTTAAATTGTTAACTCAACAACAATTTTAATAGTCAGCAGTGTAATTAGACCAAAAATTTCAAAATTTGCTTTAAAAATAGAACTTTTACAAAATATTTTATTTGAATGCGTGTATGTATTTTAGCACCTTTGTTTTTAAAGAAATTTATCTTGAATCAGTGCATTAATTATTCATGGTTACATTTTGTATTTGAAAGCAATGGATTAAATATCTTTTAAATTTATCTTTATTTTTATCATTATTCAATTACTTTTTGTTTAAAATGCATTAACAAATCTAAGTGTATTCCTGGTTATATGTTGTGATTGACACACACACAAGAAAACAGCATATTGTGACAGCATTATAATGTAACAACTTGCATTTCAAGTTTCTAAGAAATATTATGCCATATCTTGCTATACAAAACTCGGTTCTGTACTCTGTACTCCTACAGATCATAAGTATTTACTGAACTATCACTGCATGCAAATTTCATGTTGCAATTTCTATGCGAATATTAATCAAACATATAGTTTTGAAAAGTTTTTTCAACATTTAATTTATTATATAAATATTTTTAGATCCTGTCTGCTGCTGCAGCCGCTGGTGTGTCTGTTGCATTTGGGGCACCAATAGGAGGCGTTCTCTTCAGTTTAGAAGAAGTATGTTTCATAAGAAAAGTCTTTAGATTAACTATTGATTTGAAAAATGAAAGGTTTTCAGTTCTAGTTTTAAGACTTGAATTACATTAATTGTTAATTTTAAATTATTTATATTACATTGTTAATGATAATCCCATGTTAATGATAATGATTAATGATAACATGAATGCTGTTTACTTTTAGAAAAGAAAAAAAAACCTAAACAGCTAAACAGCTGACACGGAAGTGAATGTAGGATGAACCACTAGTGTTTTTACAACTCATCTCCTCAACCACTGATGATCAATGTCAAACTAAATAGAAAAGAAAAGAAATTAAGTTCCAGTCTGGACATTTTAGATTACAGTTAATCATCTAGAAGAGTTACAGTTATTTTAAATTATTAAGAAATATATTTTAACGCTTAATGATTAAGAAAAATCACAAACTTAAAAAACTTTTAATTTAACTTTCGTTTACTTACTCTACTGTAAGGCCTGAAAACATTTTAAGCTAAACTGTTACGATTATCCTGCTAAAGAGTTAACCCCCCCCCCCAAAAAAAAAGTTTCAAAATATAAATTATAAAATCACATAGTTAAAACAAACTCTTAAAAAGAGCAATGTCAAAAGGCAGACAAGAAAACTTTTCTGAGCAAGAAAACGTTTTTGGGATATTATATTATACTAATCTTTTAAAAAATATAAGTCCTAGAAGGAATCTAGTTTATATATATACCGATTTGATTTTTAATGATTACTTGCAGAAACAGCCATCCAAGCTGCAGTAACCCGCATTTTGTCGGATTTTCTGGAATACTATCATATGCTTGACTTTTCATCAAACTGTATTCCACACACATTTTTGTGGAGATAAATCATATGATCTAGATAACTAAAAAAGAAGCAGAATATCAGTAACTTATTGCTGTATTGTAAATAAGGGCATTGTTTGTAAGAAAATTACGACAGGCATATTTTGAAAATACAGAAAAACAGATGGTCATAGAATGTAATTGATATATTGAGGATATATTATGAAGATTTGAGCTCTTAAGAAAGAAGATAGCCTGTTGAAATGCGGTAGCTCAATATATAGAATTTGTTAGCGTTCTGAAGTAGAAAACATGTAATATCAGCAATAACTTAAACAAGCTGGACCTACCGATTACTTTCCGGATGTGCTACGACTTGCTCTACAAAGGCACGCAGTGGCTAAGGGAAAAGTTCTTTAAGTTCTTCCCCACATTAAGAGTGCCTGAAATGGGAGGAGACCCACTTGCTAAATCTAAGGAGTGACAAATTATCATCTACAAAATTTTAGTCGGGAGGCATTTGAAAAATTTATTAAGCTTTCCAAAGCAGGTAAGATGAAAAGTCAGCTATGTCCTCACCGTAATTTGAACTCCTGATCATCTGACTGGCTAGCTGGATATGCTACAACTTACAGTAAAAGCATGCAGTGGCGAAAGATGAAAATTCCTTGCACTTTCTTCTACTTGAAGGGCAATTGAACAGAGGGAAAAGAGGCGTAGTTCCGAAATCCCAAATGGTGACAAATTATCATTCGCTACAATTTTAGTTGGGTATACAGCTATTAGAATTTTTTGGAAGCGATGCCTTTGCCAGAATTCGAACTTCGGATATCCAGGTGTGAAAAAGGCGCTGTGAGGAAAACAAAAATTCCTTACAGCTATAAAAAAAATGCTATGAGAAATTATTGTTTGCTTGCTATGTATCTCTATGAATACAATCTCAGCTGTAGACGCATATGAGACCATCATTTTCACCTAAACAAAACGTTCTTCAGCAACGAAAACTATCATGCCATTCAGTCTGCTTCGATTGACATTCACTGCAGTCTGGAAGTGCTTTACCGAGACACCAAAATATCAGAAGCGGTAGACACGTCTGTAATGCAGCACATAATAAACGAGATGTCCGTAGACAGATGGTATTGGAGAATGTGTTACAGATTATCTCTTTTACAACAATATTATTAATAAGGCAGAAGGGTCCTCAGTCAAAGACATCGTGATCAGATATCTTCTTCATGTTGTTGTTTTTGTTGTGTTGAAACTTATGTCACTTGTCTGATAGTAACACCAGAACAAGTCCATGTAATTCATCGTTGCAAAGAGTGCAAGACTGCGCCCGTCGTTGGCAAGAGCCTTGAGCATCTTACAGGTGACAGTACGGCTTTGCTCAGTTACGCCTCCAATTTTAATGGAGTCCGAGGGGGACGGCTCCGAGGCTGATGCACCCATCTTCCCCTACCACCAACCTCTCGAGAGGACTTTTGTCTCGCCTTATATTTACAGTGCCGCTATGCCGCACAGACACTATAAATTTACAAGCAACCACGCCAACTTCGAATTCGAGCCCTCCGGTCCGGAATTCAGAGTCGTAACCGCTATCCCGGTTGGGCGGCATTTCTTCATATTCTTTTCGTATGAAGACTCAGGCGAACGCACTCATACAGGCTCCCGTGTGATTGCGCTATCCCAGTATAAAATTTGAGGGGAAGTTCTCGAGCTTAAAATGCGTTGGCATGAGAAATCCTCCTATGACATCCAGAAATTTATGCACGTCGCTTTTCTACCAACCTGTTTTTGTGTTCTTTATCAGCCAGAGACACACTCTGCCCTACTCGCCTTACAATATCACGAAAATACTGAGTTTTCTCATTGCAATAATGCATCGTTTTTCTCATTACTAATTGTAAGCCAATGGAAAACTCTTCGAGACATTTAATTTCTTAAATTAGCGGAATCCTCTGGCGAAAAAAAATGTATTGCTGCTCCGATTCAGTAATATCAATTCACAACTACGCCTTAATTAGTAATTAAATCTTTTTAACCAGGTAATTCAATTAATTGATGTAATTAAGTAAATCAAGTAACTTAATTAATGAATTAACCTCTACGTGGCTTTATTTATGACGAGATAAAATCATAGTACTTTTTTCCTACCATTTCTTTTTCCCTTTTGGGGCATCTCAATTTAAATGTAACATTTTATGTTTAATGTCATGAATTTCTGGAAGACTAATCCTTAAATCAAAAAACCTAATTTAACTGCTTAGCTTAAAACTGATTCTGCTTGAATTTGAAATTTCCACGTCAGCGTAAGAATGAAATTTCTTCTTGATTTAACTTTCTGAAATGTTAACGATCGGTTCTTTGAAAGGTTAGACCGTAATCTAAAGTTTCTTAGGTTGCAATTTTGTTATTATTATTATTGCTACTACTACTACATTAAGGAATGAATCTAAAATGAGAGATGGTACCTATTCACAGAAGACAGTAATGGAAATAAAACTTTTAGAAACTAGAAACAAACAAGTAAGCTTATAAGGTATTTGTCCTGCCTTTTAACCTGCCTTTGTGGTGTAGTGATCTGCATGCTGGACGCGTATTCCTGAGGCCCGTGGTTCGATTCCCGGCGAAGGCGTTGCTCATTTTTCACGTCTCCTGTTTCAAAAAAAAAAAAAAAAAAAAAAAAAAAAAAAAAAAAAAAAAAGTGCCTAATGTCTCTACAAGCTTTTATTTTTTATTTTTTCTTATCTTAAGTCATGTCCAGTAACTACTGCATCACAGTTCAAAGCCGTACAGAAAAATCACCTACTAAAGGTACAATAAAATAAGACTCCACGAAATAATCCACGAGACTGAAAAAAGAGAAAGTAAAAATATGCGACGTGCATAAAAAAGTAAGGAATTTTCTCCTTTTATGGGACCGAAGAAGTGGATGACGAGACAGATGCCGAAGAAACCAATTATACTGTTAAACCTTCCTCATTTGAGTCTAAAAATTTACATTAAGTTTGTAAATTCTGGTTCTGAAACAATGCAATATTTTTTGAAGAAATACGTTTTTCTATAATAAAGATTAAGGTACATTTTCTGCAGTAGAAAATTCTCACATAATAATAATTTGTATATGTGTGCTTGTTGGGAGATGATTTTTATTATTTTATTTTGATTTCCTAAAATGGATTTATTTATTAAACAACAGGTAAGCTACTACTTCCCAATGAAAACTTTGTGGAGATCTTTCTTTTGTGCCTTGGTGGCTGCTTTTGTTCTCAGATCTATTGACCCTTTTGGAACAGATCATGTAGTCAAGTTCTACATGAATTCTACACGTGAATGGATTCTGATCGAGCTTGTGCCTTTTGTAGTTCTTGGAATGCTTGGGGTATTATTTGCTTCTCTTTTTCATAAAAATGTTTAACAAAAGTGGAAAAAAATTAAGTTTTCTGTGATATCAGTAATATATACTTTAAATTATTTTTCATAAATTATACTAATAGGAGACTCAGAATATACGATAGTTTACAATAGGTCAGAAATTAAAACAAAACAGAATATGTCTTTTAATTTACAAAACAACAACAAAAAAAAAAAAAAATATTATAACAGAACATATATATAAGACTATCAGAATAACAGAGACATAACAGTCGAAGATGAAACCTTTTCAGTAATATTTGCTTAATACATATAAATACAAAATTTTAGTAAAATTATGTAAATATATATTTAATATTGTAAAAAATAAAATACTTTTTGAACGTTGAAAAACAGTTTGCGTAGTATTTATGTTGCTGAAATTATTAAAGCGATATTAAAATAGTAAATTTAAAATCAATTAATTGTATGCATTAATTCTAGTAACCAAATAAAATAATAAGTGGTCATACATAATAAAAGTGTAAGTTACCATAATTTAATTAACCACTTATTATGCTTCAAATCTTTATTATAATTTCTCTTTTCTGCATTCGTCATCAGAATGCAAACTAGCATTTTGTGTATTTAAACTGAAGGTTTAGAATCTTTAGATTAGAGCTTCCATAACCGCATCTTGTAGTAGGTATTCTCGCTAGCTCAGCTTAAAAGCTATATTTCGGCTTTAGCATACTTGCTAGCTGATATTTTAAATACATACCGGTAAAATATCTGAGACAGCTCATTTTTGGTCTATTTAATTTGTAGTCTTAGACTAATCAAAGTTTGAATTTAATTGTCTGTTATGTTAATTTAAAGATTCACATGTGGCGGAAGTTTTGTTTTATTATACAAAAAAACATTTTCTGTTGCATTAAGATTAAATAAAAAGGTTATTTAATTTAGTCTTAATGCAACTTTCTTCCGTATTTTGTGAGTTGTTTAAAAAGTAGCAATAACTCGCTATCTGTACTTATAGTAGGCCTGTAGGACTTTAGCTTCAAGTTTAAGCAGAAACTCTACAAAGGCAAATTATGTTAAATAGTAATTAATTTACTTTTTGTATTTTACCTTTTTATATTAAAAACCTGAGAAAAAAAATTTACGCATTTATTTACTTTTTGTAATTCAGGGCGCTATAGGAACAGCTTTTATACGTGCAAATGTCGCCTGGAGCCGCTACAAAAAGACTTCTAAAGTTGGAAACTTTCCAATTGTGGAGGTATGTTGCAACAGTAATATACATCTGAATATTTCTGTTCGCTTAATTTAATGTCTTAAATCTATAAAAACGATTACTACATAAGTTTTCTACTTTTCTTTCCTGTAACTTTCATAAATAAATAATTTGACTTCTGTTGTTTCGGTATTACAATGCTAGATGCATATACTTGTTGAATGCTGTTATTGCTAATTCTTATCCACCCAACACGAATAAAAAAATATAAATTGACAAATAACGTAATTGTTCTTCATAACTGTTATTTAACTTCATAACTGTTAACATCTGTTACTTTTCGCCCTTCTTCAATCTTGCCAGTAATACGGCCATGCGTAAAATCATCTTAGTGACGCGGGAAGACACACCGAAAACTGAAATTTCGTCAATTGATTCTTTCCCATTAAATTTTGCTTTCGAAAAACAACGGTCTCTGATACTTGTTTGTTAGGCTGGCGTCAGCGCGATTTCTATAGCGCTCTTGCCAGCACCTTGATTATCCCTGGGTAGGGCAAACCTCGCATGAAGAAGTTCGTGAACAACGGTTACAAAGCTTCGTATCCTCTATATCTCTTATCAGCGCTATCACGTGAGAAACAATTTCGGCAATCCAAAATTTGCATAAGCATAACACGTTTATAGTTCGACCGTCTGAAGCGCAACCCTGGTTGGCATTCTGCCAAAACACATAGACTCGTCCAAAAGGGGCGATATTACTTGCTGCGACGTGAAAGTCTTCTCTTCTCCGAAAAGAGATTATATTGGAGGGAAAGAAAATTCCCATCGTTCCATCCTATTTTGAGAATAATTTGTACCGAATGACGCATGTGTTTTTGCGTTCATAGTCGCGGATGAGACGATCGAACTATATCACCAATTACTAACAGTTCAGGCTTACAACGTCATGTGCCCACAGAGCTTTAATTCAGTAAGCCGGACATGTCGCGCTTCGCAATATACCCCGGCGACACCTATTCGGTTCGGTTCGGTACAGCACGTTTTACTGCATTCCGCAGGTATGCTAATTTCAACACTTTACTACCTTCCATTTTATGGTTGCTATCTTTGCTACTGTTATCCGACCTTAGCACTTGTTCAGCACTGTATTTCGGTGCCCGTTATTCATGCAGCACCAAGTTTATTGTTAAATCGACAAATGTTCTCAAACGATAAGTCCTTACCATGGTCACTAATAAGTTAACGAGTCACGAAAAGGGATTTAAATAGGCCACGTGTTATCGCTGTATTACTACCGTATTTTCTATCTCCCCCCCCTCAAATATTTTAACAATTTTTGCTTTGCCAAGAAATAAGGACAACGGTAAGAGCTGCCGGCTGTTTGGGAAAAATTTGTGACGAACGTTGGCGATTGGCACCGTTTAAATAAGGGAGCCGTAATCATAAGGAAGTACCGATAGTTATCTGTACGTTTATAGTATCTAGAAGTTAAAAACGACTTATATTGTTGTCTGATCTCTTTGTGCACTCTTTATTTAAAACATAATATTAATTATTAAATTATTAGAATTTATGCAAACAGAAAAGAAGAGGTATTGAATTTTAGAATGAACTGCAGTTGAGAATTCGCTTTAGGAATGTTAACATCTGCTTTTCTCAACAGGTCTTCCTGGTGACACTTCTGACGGCACTGATAAATTTTCCGAATGAATTCACTCGTATGAATGCGAGTGATTTGATCAAGACACTTTTCAGCCAGTGCGGAATGCATGACATTTCACCATTATGGTATAATTTCTTTTTTATTTTCAAAATGTTATATTTATCGGTTTAAATCAATTTTAAAAAAATTGCAGCTGAGTTTTAGAGATATAAAACACAGTAATTTTAAACGTAAAAGCTGCATATTAATTTTAAGATACGAAATCTGAAGCTTCCCCCGCCAGTGGCAGAGCAGTAAAATCGCTGAACACTGGTAGTTCCAACCTACCAGTGTTCAAGGGTTATAGGCGAACGAGTCAATTATAATATATTCTTATAATATATATATTATAAGAAAGGTTGTAAGAACAAAACTCTTTTTACACCTTAATGTGTCAATATATGCAGACGCGTCGGGAAATTGGAACAGAGAATTGAGACTAAAGTTTTTTAGACAGTTTATTTAATTCATTAAAAAATTTGTAGCGCAAAGTTTCAATTGTCTTTTTCGGCGAAACGCGTAATGGAGTTTAGCCTGGTTCGAGATTCATTTTTAAAAATTTCCCTTGAAAAGCCAAAATGAACTTCGAATTGGGCTAATTAACCATTTTCCGCTTCTTAATTTTAATATTTTTTGCATTTTACCTTGTTCAATCGATTAGTATTTTACTGTATTTTTTAATTTACTTTTTATTTAGCATATAGCCTATTATTTTACCTCATTCAATTGATTTGTTTTTTTACTGTATTAAAATTACCGAAAATGTTTAGCATATAGCTTTTTTATTAATTTGTAAATATACAAATATTTTTTCCATTTTCACACTTTTCATAGCAACTGAATATGCTTAAGTTGGAGTTTTCTTGGAGCCACAGCTCTTGGTAACTTTTTGGCGAGCTTACTAAAATTTATCTTCTAATTTATATATATATATATATACGAGCCAGTTTCCCTTAGAAAGTCCTCCCTGAAGACATCCTTCCCTTAGGCTGATAGCCCTAGTTTTCTTTGCCATAATCTACTGTACAACCTCCTACCTCCGGAGATAATTTTAAATTAAAAAAATCAAACGATATCGTTTGGTGTTCTTTCAACACGAAAATTTATTCTATTTTAATATGCTGATTCATTTTTCATAAATGTAATAATATAAATATTTATCACTGTTGAGAAAAAAGATTTAAAAGAAGAGGGACCACTTTATGAAACAAGATGTGTCAGCACTGGGAGATGCTGAAATTAAAAATTCTAAAATAATAATGCTCAAAATACATCAGTTATCAATTATGAAAACTATACATCTATTTTGTGTGTATTGTTCTGAAACGGACATTGTTCTGAAAAAGTAATTAATAATTTTTTGCAGCTAGAAAACTTTTCAGTTATAAAATTATTCTAAAATATTTCATGTAAGGAAACGTTATATGAAAATATTTTAGATCACGCTTCTGAATTCACTTTTTTTCTTTAATTAGTGACTATAAACGAAATTTGACATCAGTAGATCAACATATGCAAATTTTAGAAGCCGGGCCAGGAATCTACAAGTCTTTATATTTACTTCTACTAGCACTCGCCTGCAAGTTCGTCATAACAATTTTCACTTTTGGTATTAAGGTAAGGCTTAGATGTTCTTACATTCTTAAAAACATATTAAGTATCTAAATATTACGCATAATTCAAATTTTTAGTGTTATATACAACCACACCTTATTTTAAAAAAACTTAAAAAAAAAAAAAAAAAAAAAAAAGAATTAAAAACTCGTCTTTTTTAATTAATAAAAATTAATAACAATTTTTAAAAACTTGAAGGTTGTCCAAATATTTTTTCCAGTGCCAAACGACTACAGTCGTTTGGCACTGGAAAAAATATCTACACATCATCACCATGGTAATGTATATAATGTATATATACAAACCATCACCATGGTAATGTATATCAAAGAGAAAAAATTTAATAATAATAATTACATCATACGTTACAAATTACTGTTAACAAAGGACTAGTTCGTATTTCTGTATATTCAGTTTCAGTTAATATGGCAGCTGTTTAATAGAGACAGCCATTTTGATAGGGTTAAATTTTAACGAAGGAATGCTAGTCCAAAAAGAGATTAAAGTTTTTGTGATTCGCTTTTCACTACTTATTTGGAAAAGCATCCATTTTGAATGGGCCACACATCGACCAAGAAATATAATTCCAGAAAAACACGAGAAATTTTACTTTTGCTTCGAATCTGATGGCAGGAGATCTGGAGGTAAGTTTAGCAGCCAGCCTCCCTAACACTTACGCTGTCCATGCTGGCGGAATTTTGATATTCATTGCTTAAGAAAGATTATTATCTAAATCTACAGGTTTAAGATTAATCCTGATCATTGTAACCTACCATAAGATTAATGTTGGTAACTAACATTAATGTTATGTTTATAGAAATTTACAATATAGAAGATTTTATTTGTGTAGCCTTTTCCAGCGAAGGCACAATATTAAAAAGCGAAGGCATCATAATTAAAAAGCATACGTTGTATTATATTCTAAAAAGATGGTAAAATTTCAACAACTCACTTCAAAAGTCAGATAAAATGTATTGTTAAGTATGATTACAAAAAAAAAAAAAAAAAAAAAAAAAAAGAGAGAGAGAGAGAGAGGCCCATTGTCTGTATGTGGTACTTTTGTTGATTTTTTTTTTTTTTAATTTTTTTTACGAGAATATTTTCGAATATTCGTGCATTTGAAAAACTATCCCATATGTTGATTACTAAGAAATACATATGGATATCATTTTATTATTAAAACTTATTTTACGCTGGTCTTTATTGTTATCAGTTTGAATAAATCACAGTTAAGATGAAAAACATTAGAGTGAATTTTCATAATTTCTTAAATTTTAAAATAAATTGCTGATAATGTGGTTAGCAAGTTGACTGGGCCGGTATTTTAGAGTTCCGATGTGTCTTAGTTAGAGATTGGTTAATTAAGTGATTGTAGAAAAGCATGGCTCTAATTAATTAGAATGTGTCACATACTGGTTTTCACATATTTTGTAGGCTGACACAGTTGTACTTCGATTTGGAGAGCAGCCATTCAAGTTGAAGCAATCTGAATCCAAAATTCGTTAAGGATTTACTTCAAAACTCTCATAGCTCATTGGTCTTCCTTGATCATACATACCTTACGCATTTTTGATAGAGGAATAAATCAAAGAGATGTTGGCAGACAAGGGCAAAGGGGGACAGCATTAGCGCTACTGAAGACAGCTCGTGTTAATGCTGCAGTACGAGAAGTGGCGTTTTTTTTTTTTTTTTTAATTACTTTTAAGAAACGTTGAAAATAATGAAATGCAATCAGTCATAAAATGTCACTGACTATCTAGCACTGGGTTATGATAGCTCGAATTCTCATGACAGGTGATTTGCTTGTTGCAAGCGGACACGTACGCGACCATGTTTTCAAATAAAAAAATGATTCATTGGAAAAGACAAAGTCACGCCACTCATAATGTTCAACACATCATCGCAATACGTCAGTATGTTGCCGAAGTGTCAAAAATAAGAGAAGCAATTGAAGCGATCATAATCCACAGTATAATAAACATAACGTACTGTGACAGATGATGTTGTCAAATATTCTCCACTATTCGCTAATGTTGCACGAAGATTTTCGATAACGCAGAACATTAACATACTGACGAGATGATGATCCATTCTCAGCATTGTCTGTGTATGATATCAAATACATATGCTTTAATCTTATGCGCTTCTGTGAGTCAGTTTCTGAATGCTCTTTCAATCGCAGAAATATTGTGCCTTGAGCCCTCATCTGTATAACTTCAAAATTTCCCTACCGGTGAAGTAAAATAATGTTGCGTTCTACTCATTCATGGATTTGAAGTAATTGATGGTAACACTTCATGAAGAATCAAAACCCAATTTATCCGCCAGTAATCACGGTTACACATGACAGTTCCAAAGACGTTTACATTCGTCGAAAAACTACGATAAACATTCTGCAATAATCAGCAACACAGCCTTCAGGATGTAATGGTGAAGATGCCTTCATGGCAAAGCACTAAAGTACAGCTCCCGACTTGGTCGATCACTCTCTAGCTAATCTCTGAACACAAGATACTACTTTTTCTCCGTACAGGCAGGGTATGTATAGTTTTAACCTACCTTCGAGAATATTGCGGAGAAAACCCTCTAAAAATATGTTCTAGAATGTTCTCATTTCGTCAATGACATATCGCCAATTTTTCGCTAAATGGACAATTTCGCGCCAAATCTGACAACCCTAAATTCGCCGTTGACTCACGCTACTCAGCCGGCAGACTTCTTTCTCCGCTTCGCTGGAGGAGCTTCGTTTCCGACCAGCATCCCCTAGAAGGAAGTTAAGTTCTAGGGGGTGTTGTTCCGACCCGTTTTGCGAGGAAGCTATCTCACCGCGCAGTGCCTGGGCATTTGCAATAGTACTAATTATTTGTTCTATGTTGCCTACTTTATACGGCCTGAAAAATAAAAGGTGTAGCTAAATGTCCTTTCTAAGTGTTGTGTATTTTAAGAATGGGAATGTACTTATTTAACTTTTATATATATATAGCCATAGAATTTTTTTTCGCTTGCAGAAAGTTCAATATGATTTAACCCTAATTTATTAGATAAAACTAGTTAAAAAATAAAAGCGTATTGCATAAAAGAAAATTTTTGAAAAATCAATCAACACTTCACTATTTGTATTACTTGCATTAAATTATCAAACTTTAAGCATACATAATTCTTCCTTGATATCAGTTGATCTTATTGCTTGCATTTCCGAAGCAAAAGAAATTATCTTTCGATTTTAAACTCAGTCTCATTATTCAACAATCGTAACACCATTGATGGTAATTGAAGAGTCATTAACCACTGAATAATCTTATATTCAGTATTTAAATAAATGTTTACTTCTTTAATTATTTGAAAAGATTTGAATTAAATGCAAAAGTCCAAATTTTTTACATAGATATGTTTTGAATTTTAGCATTCTGTATATATAAATTTTTTTTCGAAAGTCGGGAACTTCGTTACTTATGTATAAGCTTTATGAATTATTTTAATAAAAAATTTGATGTAGACACTACATGATTTCCTTGTACGGCCATATTAAATTACATACAGTTTTGGCTGCTTTTCATTTAAACTTATTTCCTCGAATTATTCTAGCTTAATAAACCGATCCCTCAAAGCAAGTTAAAATGACATCAAAAATTGCAAATTTTGAGAGTAAATACCCCAGTCTATTTTTGTCGAACGGGAGTCAAACTTCTTCTAATTGTATTTTTTCATAACGGGTATAAAACATTTCCAAATATAAGTATAGGAACCGGGAAATCACATTAAACTCTATATTTCGTTATTTGTCGAAAGTTATTTTTTTTTTTTTAACTTGACATTGCCAAAACTTGAATATTTTCATCACTTAAAATACTTCTGTAAGTGAAAGTATATGACTACAACCAATGACTGCGAAATTAAATAAGGGGGTATACGTATATTTGGTACTGCCGATTGAAATAAAAAAGCGTGGTGCACAGCTAGATGTTATACTAATACCATATACAAAATTTCAATGTTCTACGGCTAATCATTTTGGAGTTATGCGAGATACATTCATACCAGCCTACAGATGTCACGAAAAATTCCATTTTAAAATCCGTTTTGGAAAAAAAAAAAAAAGTCCTTTATTCTGCCTGTAGAGACTTCACGCAAAATATCGTCCAGATGGATTCCGGAATGATCAAAATGGATATTTCCGTTGAAGTATGATATCCAAAAGTTTTCGCAATTACATTACATCCTTTTTACTTAAGTAAAGGAACTATTGTAATCGCGAAAATTTTCAGGCATCATATTTCAACAAACATATTCATTTTGACCGCTATTGAATGCAATTTAACGATGTTTTTACGTGGCATCTCTACGCAAGGACAGAATAAAGGACTCTTTTTCCCAAAACAGGTTGCAAAATGGATTTAAAATGGATTCAGATGAGATTTTTTTCGTGACGTCTTTTACGTATGTATATGTGTATCTCGCATACCTCAACGAGTAGCTTCAGAACATTGAAATTTCGTTATATAGGACTGCTATAACATGCACGTTCCCTTTTGGTTGCAATCCACCGCACTGGAAGTATATAAATATATATTTATATATACACCCACTCTGTTACTCAGCTCCGTGAGCTCAGTTTTTTATCCTTATATATTAGTAAATTTTGCATTTTTGCTTTAAAAATAATTGAATCATGTTGTTCTTATCTCGCTGTTAAGGTTTCTATGCCTTTTATTAATCTACATGCAACAGTTGTAGAATTTAACAACAATTTAATAGTTGTTTAAGTGCGGCTAAGCTTAATTTTTTTTTTTTTTTTTTTTTTTTTTTTTTTTTTTTTTTTTTTTACCATAGCAGCCATATTTGTTTACATTTGAAACTTAGCAGAATAGTGAATTAAGTCCCTTTCTGCACCTTCGGTGTCTTTTTGCCGAGTGGGACTGAAAGTAAACTTTCAGTTTTGTGCACCGAAAAATCTGCCTTCTTGCCCGCTGGACGAAGTGCTTGTTTTTGAGGTAAAAACTAATTTTAATTGTAAAAATTGTTTTAACTGTATTTGGGGTTTCATCTTTTTCTATATTTTTCGATTTTTAATGAAGATATTTTAAGATTTTATGTAGTTTTGCCTTGCCGCGAAGTGAGAACTGAATTAATTGAATGAGAAATATATCTAATGAAATTCGAAGAGATAAGTTTAAATGAAATGCAGCTTAAAATGCGTATATTAATATTCCATACAAGGAAATCATGTGGTGACCACATCAGATTTTTTTTGTATAAAGAAGTAAAATCCTTCAGTGACTTTATATTTGTGGCAATTTAGTAACTTAAGTAGAATGGAAATTGGCTTGTTAAATAAGTCGCACATTAAGTACGATTAAAAAGGCACAGTATGCCAAAAGTTAGCGTCAACGAATTATCCCTTATCGCTGACCTTATCGCATTGGTTCTTATTCAAAATGAAGAAACTGACTCGACCGATATCCAGAAATATCTTCAAATACTCTTTACTAATGGTGAAGCCTTTCCTTGGGCCATTGCGGAGCAATTTTTTGGAAATTATTAGGTCTTGAATTCTGTCAGTCCATTGTTTTCTTCAGGTCTCCGTAAAAGAAAAGTTTAAGGGTTTTCAAATCAAGTGATCATAGAAAGGGGGTTGGGTAATTTACTTTACGGTTATCTACATTGTCATTACTCATAATTACTACATTCAGCGTGATATCCTGTATAATATCAGTTGCTATAAATTCAAAAGATTATGTGTGAATTTTTAACGAGAATTCTGTATTTTAGATTCCAACAGGTCTTTTCATACCCAGTCTGGCCATGGGTGCTATTATGGGTAGAATTATAGGAGTTGGAATGCAACAACTTGCCTTGTAGGTAAATTTCGTGTGTTTATTGTCTGCCTTCTAATTTATGTAACTTTTTATGCTCATTAGTATCAAAAATAGTTCTATTATGTAATTAAAAACCAAATGATTGGGTACTACTTTCATTAATTTATGGCATTAGAATCAGCTTTTCTTAGTTAAACCAATCCTGAAATGTTCATAAAATTATCAGTTGGATATACCCTAAATCAAACATATTCTAAATCTTAGCAATTAGGAGTATTATTAAAATATAAAACAAGGATTTCAATTAACCAGAACTGCATTTTTTGCTTTTAAGTAGCTTAATATGTTAAAGGATTACGAATCGGTTACATTTGAAAATTATGTATCTATTTATGAACGAGCAATTTGATAAATGAAACCGCAGAATAAGAGAAAGGTACTATACAATGTAGAATAATTTCATTGTTTAAATACTAAACAGGCTAGCGCATCGCGCAGCAGCACCACAGGTCCGGGGTTCTGGGCAAGGTCAACTCAGCCTTTCATCCCTTGGGTCGATAAAATGAGTACCAAGTTCACTTGGGAACTAAACACTGGGGGTCCTGCAACAAGCTCACCACTTGTTCAGGGCATATGCTTACGCACCTCGGGCCCACGGTCAAGAAAGCAGATTTCGGGACACTGCAGGCCTTGGCCAATTAGGGTTGTTTGCAACACTGAGTTTTTTAGTTAAATACTAAATAAATTATACAAGGAATTACCTTAAATATAAACTGCATAACTACCACGTCTAGCTAAGAGCCGCATCTAGCTAACAGATTTAGGCCACGTCTCACTAAAAGATTTAGGCCTGAACCAACTATACTGATCACATGTATGCCTTAAACTGTAAGTAATAATGTCCTTGTGCCATAGCAAATGGTACCATTATTTCAAAGAAAGAAAAAAAACTAAGATTCTCTTTTTCAATATTATAAGACAAAATAAATTCATCTATATTTTTTTTCTCAAAATTTATGTTAAAATGTAAGAAGAGTCTTATTTTCGAGCATATTGAGTATTAAAGAACTTAAGCTTTTTTGTCTCTATATTCTGAGAACTGGTTGCTTCGAAATCACGTGTAAGATTAGAAAATCTTGTGTTTCATGCAATGGTAACAGTTTCTAAGTCTCGTTGGATGATAAATGTACAGTTGCCAAATAAAATGACACATAATGTAGCATTACAAATTAGAGAGGATTGTTCAATTTTTAAGCAACTTACAGCGAATTTTCTAATTATTTCTTGATTGATGAAAGCCAAAGTATTGTGCTTCAGAAAGCATCCAGCGAAACTCTCATTTATGTACTTTAAGAATTAAAATGTAGTAGCAAAATAGTCGTATTTCGTTTTCAGGTAACTTTAACAATATAAAATTAACTGGATCTTGAAAAAGTAGCCTTAAGGCGTTCTGACACCATGTCAATTAGTCTTTTAAGTCCGATTTTGTAAAAATGTCAGCACTCAACACTTAAGAAGGGTCTTTTTCCTCTAAGTAAAAATTCTGTTAAACCTGTTGAGGACCTCGAAGCTCAGCGTTTAAGACTAACCTAAATGCGCGAAGTAGTTACTTCTCATTTCAAATCTTAAACCAATATTTTTACAAAAGAGGCTCACTAAAACTGAATTTAAAGCATGAGGGCTTTCCGTTATTGTTGTACTTGGTCGAAATACGTCTCAGGAAAGAGATACTAAGATATCAATCGATCAGATTGCATAATTAACGCGACAGCATCACCCAGGTCAAATCACTAAAATCACTCAGGTCAGAGCTAGTGTCAACAAGTTAAACTGCAGAGCATTACGGGTTTGATCCTACAAGTTCAGAGTTCTCCAAACCCCAAATCGGATACATTTCGTGTATATCGAAATAGAAAGCGATTCTTCTAGATGTAATTTTACATCCATAATTTATGAAGGATTTTAGATCTCGTCAGTCTCATTAGGCCTCACCAGCCGCCGAGCGGTAAACTTGCTGAGCACTGATAGTTTGACTCGAGCTCGATCCCTGGTGAACGGGCTGGCTGCATGGATTTTTCATGGTTTTCCTCATCTGTGACATGGACAAAGCCAGCTCCTCTTAAAAATGTCCTCCAAAAAGACATCCCTCTCTATAGGTTACAAAATCATATATAATATTAATTAGTTGATAATCGTTTAGTTGCTTAATCAATTAATCTAACCTAACCTAAATCTCATCATTAAGTAAATGCTACATATAGTAACGATATGTAGTATTTACTTAATGATAGTTAAGTAAGTAACGATAGTTAGAGAGAGCAGAAGGCTAAGTATTCAAATCTTAGCCACATAAAAAAAATATAATAATAAGGATTTGCATCCTTTATGAAAAAATTGTAATTACAAAAATTCCCAAGCCCTTAATTCTTCTTTTGATTAAGTACTTTCAGAGTGAAAAAGAATTAGATGTTTTCATAATATAAATATTCTGCTAAGGTCATAGAATTTTGTAAGTTGTTCAGAAAATTTTCGTATTGCCCAAATTTGCATTTCCAAATTTACATATGAATGATATACATTTTACGTATAATCACGATAAAATTTAATTAAAGAATGTTTCATGTATCTTTCATTTCTTCTGGATGAATATTTAGTTAGAGCATATTTTAACTTGCCAATGTAATTTCAGTATAACCTAATTTGTTGTCTTTTCCCTGCATCATTTTTCTTACTAATGAAACAGCCTAGTATTTTTCAGAAAATACCGAGATTCATGGCCATTCCATGCTGCCTGTACTTCGAACGAAGATTGTATGGATCCGGGGTTGTACGCCATGATCGGAGCAGCAGCTACACTAGCTGGCGTCACAAGAATGACAGGTCAAGAGAAATTCTTAATATGATATAGTTTTATATAATTATGCAAAGCTGCTGAGAAATTCTAATGATTTTCAGCATGCAGTTTCCAGAATTTATGGCTACGAGTTTGATGATTAAAAAATGTGTTTGATGATTTTTATGTTTTATTTCTATGATACACATCTGTATCACATATGTTGTGATACAGATGTATCAAGAAATAGCGAATTGTATCTAGACGAGTGTTTTCATAATGGAGAACTGCACTGAAAAATGCGATATAAAAAATGCGATGGCGAAATGTATCGAGAAACGCTTTTTCAGTTAAATTTTAATGACAACTACATTCTTAAATTATCCACCAAACATTAAGTAACTATTCAGTTTCAGTAATTAACGCTTTAATAATTCGTTTTTTACCAACATGCTTGAATAAATTGTATAAGTTATAATAGAGTAAAGAATCTGTTTCTAGAATATTGTTTCGTTTGTTATTATGGGGGAGTAATACCCGCATATATTTTAATGCTAACATTTTCAAGATAAAATTAAAATATAGCATACAGAATTTTTTAATATGGTTACAACATATTTAAACAAATGTATGCGAGTAAAACTTCGAAATTCACTGTAGTTAACTAGCCTAGATAAAACCACCCAATCACTGCCAGGTAGAGCGTCAGTTAAATATTCGTTATTTTTCTTTTTTATTATTACAACATTAAAATCTTCATTTGATTAGATTTTCATTTGAACAATCATTTGATCTTATTTTATTTATGTCAGTTCGGGAGAAATTCTAGAAAACAAAAAGAATGAAATCTTTAAATTTTGAAAGCTTTCAGATTTTATATTATGCCCAAATCGTCTCCCCCCCCCCCCCATTTATACACACATGCACGTTTCGAGAGCATTTCAGCTAAAGTCTGTTGCCAAGTTTGGCGACTTTTTGTGATTTTAAACCAAATTTTGCGACAAAAATTAGTCACCAAAACCATTGCTATGGCTATATCTCGCCAATTTAGCTAGAAAACTATTTACCTCAATGTTAAATAACCTGCCCCTGTAGCCTTATTTTTTCCGCAGAGCATCCCTCTGTTTTATGTTACATTATACAAAATTCATACCAATATCATGCTGATTAAAAAATATTTACATAATAGATAGATTTAAAAAATAATTTAATTAAAATTAAGAAACCGTTTGTTATATCAGTGTCTTAATTTCAGCAATTAAATTTTTTAATTAACGGCATAAATTTAACCTTTTAACTAATTTTATAATTTAAACTGATTTTTATGCTTTAACGGTATTTAATTTTTTGCGTATATGTAATAAATACTGTACAAAATATTGCAGAAAATGTTACATACATTTAGAAGCTAAAAGACGTTAAACCAAAAATTTTCATTAAAAAATGGTTCAACGCTTACGAATAAAAAGTGTTTAATTTTGCACTCTTTTATCCTATATAGTGTGTCACTGAAAATTTGCTTACTTTACAGTTTGAAAGTTTTTCATATGTTTACATAATAATATATAATTTTTATAAAATTAGATTGGAAAGAAAAGGAAAAGTTAAAAATTAGCTAAAGCCTTAAAGTACATTTGATGTAGCTAATTCCTAAGTTGACATGTAACACCAAGTTACAACAATTAATTAAATGAAAGCAGTTAAATTTTACGCGAAAAAATCCTACTGAAAATACTACAAAATTTTATGAAAAACTATACAACAAAATCAAAATTGGATCGTTAAAAAACCTACTGAAAATACTAAAAAATTTTTTATAAAACCTATTAAAATTGACAAGATTTTATTTTATTAAATTTCTATAAATTTTACCAATCAATATTTCTATTGAATTTTCTTCTGTAAAAGCTTTATGAGTTTTCTACAGAACTTTATAGAGAAGTATTTCTGCCAAAGCTTATCTATAAAGTTCTATAGAAATTTCTATATAGCTCTATAAGTTTCTATAAAAAAATTTCTTAAAGGGATCCTTTTCTTTTCAAGAACGTACAAGAATGCTTGCTTTTAATTTTTTATACTGATATATATTAATTTTCGTTACAGTTTCCTTAGTTGTTATAATGTTTGAACTGACAGGAAGCGTTGATTATATAGTGCCACTGATGGCGACAGTTGTTGCTAGTAAGTGGGTAGGTGATGCCATTGAAAAGGAAGGGATGTATCCTTTCTCATGTAGTTATGAAATTCGTGAAACCTTTTTTGTTTATATCAATACCGTAAATGTTTTTCATTTCTAAAATAAGATAACTTTGTATTGAAACGAAAGCATTTTGATAAAGACGATACATGCAATTGTTAAATTGTCATCCTATAAGATTGAATCTTTTTCTAAATCAAAGGTCATTAAAGTAAAATAATAAATAAAACAACATTTTGGTACATATTTTTATATTTTTTTCACTCTTTTCTTAGTTCATTAGATCAGTGTCCATTTTTCTGAATAAGATGGCTAGCAAAAATGTTTTTGTCTTTTTATTATTAATGTTTTTTGTGTTAACTTTATTTGTTAAACGCCATGATTTTCGCATTTGTGCCACATAAAATTCAATTCAACAGCAAAGTCGCCAGTTATTTAAAAACAGCTTATTTTTAGAATTTTCGATAGACAGTCTCGCGCGCTGAAGATAAAGACATTTTATTCCATACTGTTCACTTTCAAATGGTTGAGTTTTTTAATCAAAAATTCATTAAAGTTTTACAAAATATGAAATAGATAATGAAGCAAATTCGAAATTCAAAATTCGGCCTTCCAGGTGCACATGCTCGGGTATAAGACCACGTTATTCAAAATTTGATGGCTCTTGGAGCCGTCGTTTTTTCACATTGCGAAAAGCATTCGTACATTCATGCAGATGCTTCATTTTTTTAATTTCTTTAAAAATAACACAAGGCGGTAATATTTGGTGGCAGCAATTTCAAAAACCATACGCCTTTTAAAGTTGTATTTGCTTCGGCGGTACATACATTAAAATTGGAACGATACAGAAAAGATTAGCATGGCCCCTGCGCAAGGATGACACGCCGTTTATAGTGATTCAATAAAAATATTAATTAATGCAATGAAATAATTGAATAGATGTGAGTAAATTAATAATAAGATAGTATATACAGATGAAGAAGAAAAGGTGAATATTTTGATAAATATTCTTCGCGGTGAAATCAAATCATTTCTTTATTTTAGCACTTAATCATTTCTTTATTTTAGCACTTAATCATAATCTGATTGGATAAGTACTACAAAAACTCCTTTTTGTTTTGAGAAAGAACACAAAAACTTAAAATTTAATTTTACCACTTTTCAAAATTAGTTTCGCAATTCACTGAAAAGATATACTTTACACTAGAAAATTAGTTTACTAGATTCTAATAAAAGCATTTTGATCTTTTCTTTAAATATAATTTGTATATCATAAAAGAAGCATTTTGCTTGGCAGCTCAAATTTTAAGCTAAGAAGAGATTATGTAGTCCATATTTCGAATTTTACTCTGTTAAAGGAAAGAATAAGCAAATGAGAATGCCATGATTTTTATATAACATAAAAAGCCAACGAATGTTTCTAAGGACTAGTGCAATGGCTTGTAAAAATGTGTAATTCGTAAATTTGATACTTTTAAGAATTCATGTGTGAAATAAAGTGCGTTAAATATAGTCGTATATTTAACTATGCTGAAAACATTTTGGACATTTTTTCTCCTTTCGTTATTAAAATTTAAATCTGTAAAATTAAATCGCAAATTTCAATACTATTTTCTTTCATTTTCTGGTTTATATTTTTATGATCTATATTTTCAAAGGTCCAATTTATTTTGATAAACAGGAATTTCAGTTTGGAAAGGTTATTTGCTTAGTTTGCATGATTAAATTTTCATTGAAACTTAAAAGAAATAATTGAGAATTAGATATAATGGTGGCTACTGTAACAGATGTCAGATATAAATGGTCATTTTTAAGTAAAAACGGCTTTCTATAGAAAATTTTACCTAATTTCCTGCAAAACATAGCGTCAAGAAAATAAGGAACAAACACAAGCAATGAACAAAAATCTTTTATACAGCTATAATCCTCTTATATCTATGCTACGCTATGCGTCTCCCGAAAAACTGATTTTCTATAATATGAGATATTAAGTAAAAACGAAGATACATACTACAAGAGTTACTAAAGTCTCATATAGTATTGCATAGTTTTTATATGTTCCGAATAAAATATATCATCATCAATGTATCTGATCTTCAAGCCATATTGAACTTAATTTCATCTTAAACACATCAGTTTATGAAGGTACTTGATATTTACTGCATTCAGACTTCATATTATCAAAATATACTGGCGGGAAAAATTAGAGGAGTAACTGCAAATAGGCGCTTTATGTTAATTTTATTAAGTGAAATATAATGAAAAGAGCTAGTCAGTAGCTCATTATCGTCAGTAGCTCATTATTATATTGGAACGATACAGAAAAGATTAGCATGGCCCCTGCGCAAGGATGACACGCCGTTTATAGTGATTCAATAAAAATATTAATTAAGTCCAATGGCGTTCACATTCACTGGACAGAAATATGCAAATTTGTGCAGAAATGGAGAAATGGCGTGTCCTTGTTAGAATTAAGGCAGAACAAACTCTGATACTTGTCTGTAAAGATCTAAAAGTAGCCAAAAACATCACGTTAAGAACCTTGAAATGGTATAAAGACATACGTAGATGATGTATGCAGACAACCAGATTAAGGTCCGAAACGTACGAAAACAGACTATCAGAACTGTTATTTGGCAACAATTGCTAGAAGAAATAAGCAACTGATTTCAATGCAGATTTTACAAGAATTCGCTGCTACTATAGGAACTTGACTATCCAGATGTACTGTTTGTTTGGAAAATGATTATTTTGAAAGATTGTGCTGGCCTGCACATATTTACCAGCACAATTTTGAATGCTGAAATAAACAGAGATGAGGATTTTGATCCTTATGTCAAGCAGTTAAAAATGCAATCGGTAATAACTTCTTCTTAATGGACAATACTGCTCGTTATCTTCGCGCTGCAATAGTGACAAATTATCTTGAGATTAAGGAATCTTGTAGGTACAGAGTAGTCACATGTTCTCCGAAATCAAACAAGCAAAACATGCGCAAGATGCACTAGGACGTCGATTTGTATCAGAGCAGTATTTACCTCTCATCCTTCAAAGAGCTAGTCGTAATCACTCATTGGTACCGCAGGAACTCCTAGACAAACTAATTCCCCGTATGGAAAATCGTTATTAGTGGTGACCATAGATCTTATTAAATTTTTTTATGTATTTCTCAAAAAATTGAACACCAACTTTTCTCTACTGTATTTGATACTGCATTTTCTATGTTCTTAATAAAATTTATTTGTTACAGAAATAGGCAGTTTTTAAGGTACGTTAGACAAGACTAAATAAAGACACTGTGCAAGTTCTATTTCTTAGCTGCAAAACCATTCAAGTTACATGAATTTTTATAACTGTTTCTTTAATTTTTTATGCCGCTGTATGTTACATCGATTCATTTTGAATATCTAGATGTCACTGTAAAAGCGCCTTATCAGTAAGATACATAGAACTTATTTATTATAAATATATGGTATCATAAAGATGTATGACATTTACTTAATTTTGAATATTACCCTATTATAAAAATATGTGGTACTTATTCATTCCAAATGCATCATCAAGATGTATCATCAGGATTTGAAACTCAGTTATTCTGTGAACGTGTCAGACAATGCAGATATATGGCACTTCTTCATTTTGATTATAGCGTTTTATAAATGATATGGTAATTATTTATTCTGAATACAGCATGCTATTAGGATAAAGAATTTAAATGCGTTTAAAATTTTAAAAATAATTAGGATGGTTAGAAAATGACAAGTGAAATTAAATTGCCTTCCCGATTCTGAAACCATTTTTTTTAAAGAAAGATTTTATAGACTGAAATAAGATGTATTTCCATTATTTCCTATTTATTTCAGTGGCATTCAAACTTTATCGCAGTGTGATCCCATAAGAATGCAAACGAACCCAAAAAACAATATCGCTACCCATATCAGAACATTTAGTTATATACTGCACTGGCGAAATAAATTAAGATGATTTTCATATTTCATCTACGATCTCCAGAACTACTAGATAGATTTTAATAAAATTTGGTGTGAACATAGGTTGATATAATACAAACAAAATAAATAGTCAACAGTTATAATAGACACACATGTTCGTGTGTAACACTCATGAGAGTCTGAAGGTATGAAACAGCGATTGCAGAAGACACAAAAGAAATGGGTTAATAGGGGTATGGTCCCCTCTTACAACCATACAGACCTCGCAGCGGGATCATACACTGGAAATTAGGCAGTTTGTCAGTGCCTGTGGCAATGGGTCCCACTCATTCAGCAACGCTGTTTTCAGTTCCTAAATGGTTCTCGGAGGGGGTTGCGACTTGCAGTTGCCCTCCCAGAGCGTCCCAGACATGCTGTATAGGGTTGAGGTCTGGAGACCTGGCTGGCCAATCCATCCGGCGAATACCTCACTCTCGAGAAATTCGTCTACCCAGAAGAGCTCTATGTGGCTTCGCGTTATTGTTTTGTAAGATAAATTCGAGGTCCACTACACCCTGGAAAAGGCGAACATAGGGCTCCAAGACCTCATCCCTATACCTGACACCAGTCACAGAGCCTCTGTCAAAGACGTGGAGATCCAACATGACGCCTGCCCAGACCATTACACCGCCACCGCCATAATTGTTGATTTTGCGGACATTGGAGGGTAGGTGGCGGGTCCCTGGCTTTCTCCATATGAAAGTACGACGAGAATCGATGTTTAAGCTAAAAAAACGGGACTCATCGGTGAACATAACGGTCGCCCATTGCGCCGTACTCCAATCTCTATGCTGCCTGCACCATGCTAATCGGACTCTCCTGTCCGTAGACGTGAGCGGGACGCAAACAGCCGGTCATCTGGTAAACAACCTTCTCTCATTCAGTCTTTTGGAACAGTCACCCTCGTTACATGGGCTCCTGTGGCTGCATACAGGTCCCGAGGGAGCTGAGAAATAGAGAGAGAGAACCCGAGGGAGCTAAAATAGACAAATAGCGATCTTCTCTGGTCGTCGCGGCTCTTGGACGACCTTGTACAGGCTTTCTCTAGATGGATCCAGTATCCTGGAGCTGTTTCCATAGGTTACACACGACGCTGGGCGTTAAGTTAAACTCTCTGCATATCTGGACTTGCGATTGGCCTGCCTCTAGCCTCCCAACAATTCGCAACCTCATTCCATCATCTAAACGTTGGTGGTTAGTCATTTTTACTGTTCCGATGTGAATTTAACTGATTGCTGCAAGATAACACCAAGAAATTCGCCGAGGTGTGCTAGCGAACGCAATTCGTGTTATCCTCCACGCGCTTATAAAGCCTGTTTTTTTGCTGGTTTTCCCTACACACGCGTGTACGCTTACGTATTTGCCGAACAAGATTTGCATTTTTATCTAGAAGCAGTGGTTTTCTTTCAGTTCAGTTCTTTTCGTGCAATTCCATAAAATATGCAAATTCTCTTAATTTATTTCACTAGTGTTGATAAATGCAGATTTTTTAGTATTTTTGTTCACTTTGGGGCCCCAATATAAATTTTCGCGACCCGTAGTTTGCATACCATTGTTCTACTGTATGTTGTATTTTCGTAATATTGATATGCGTAATAAAAACATTATGGGAAAATTATTCGACAGTAAATCCGTTACTATCCTTAACCAAGTAACCAGATATGATGCCCACATACAGCTTAGCAAATATCCCTTCTTAGACAATAAGAAGTGTGTTAAGTATCCTACAACTGCATATGATCTTGTACGGAATTTGAGGTAAATATATTTGTCTGCTTTTCTCTATCTTCTTGGCCAATTTCAAAACTATAATCTACTTCACAAAGACATTATTTATTACATTTTTATCCCCCTATCATCATTATCGGCATATATTTGGAGTGCCCCATGCTTCAAAGACATTATACATATAAAATATCCATTCCTTCTCCGGGATTCGAACCCTGACCATTTCTCCGATATTCGAACCCGGCCCCTTCGGCATGGAAGTCAGAGTCAGTAACTACTATACCTTTAGACATTAGGACTATCCACTATCCCATTGAATGGCGGCTATTAAAAAACAGCCATTTCTAGTGGCCGAGTGGATAAAACTACTCACTAAACTGCGGTTCTAATTTAATTCTCGATAGAATGCGTTAGCTACCTGAAAGCATTTTAGAATTTCCTTACATATATAAAACAAAAATGCAAGTCAGTGAGGATGCCAAAGTCCTACATAAAGTCTTTCCATTCATACAGACTACCATATTTTGCAGAAATAAATTTTCTTACTATATTTATCGTCTTATACACGGGTTTCGAAATTATGATTGGAAGTGATGCAATCAAAATTATATTTAAAATTGAAAAATAGATTAAAATTTTCTAATTACTAGTTTTGAAGGCTATAAAACAATATTTTAATGGCAGATCGCATATCTATGCGAATATTTGCGCAAAAGTTAAAAGTTTTGCACTCTTAGTTTAGGAACATGAAATTTTGGTAAAACAATTAAAACTCGAGAAAATTTCCCTCTACATATTTAAAGAACTCATAGCTAACTAATTTTTATATTTCCCCTTAGTTAGTGGTACAAATTTTTAAAATCTGCATTGGAAATTTTAAAAAAAATCTCGGTAAATTGTAAGTTTGTACATAAATTTCGGTCTGTTTGGAAAGAAGATTACGCGATTTTAATTTCATTCATTTCGCTAGTTTCTTTTGTACCAGATACAGGGTATGCAAAAAAGATTTTAAAAGTTTATATCACAATTTAACTTATATTCTGTAAAATTATTTATTCACTTCAGTTAAATTTTTAGGCCACAGAATGGGTTATATTGTCTTACACAAAAGGGCATGACCTTAGAAGAAATAGGTAAGGGTTTCATTTTTATGTTTTACATATTTATATATGTATGTTTGGCTATTGTGTTAATCAAGTACTTCTATGTATGAACACGCATAGATCTATGTTTTATGTGTAAAATAAAGCATCGAAAAGGATAAAATTGAATATTCAAAAGTCGCCATAAATAGCAGTCATTACATTCTAAATGAGTTTGTGGAAGTTTAACCGCAACTGGACTCTTAGTTACTTTCTAATTGGAAATTTAACTAAAAGTAAACTTTTTGTATCTGACTGTAATCGTATCTGTGTGTTAGTCAGTGGTGTAGACAGGCAGACGCAAGTATTCTTGAAACTTGTTTTTGGAAAATATAAAAGTTATTATGTTATGAAGACGACTGATGATTTATTTCTTCGGTATCACGAAACAGATACTGTTACAGTCGAATGCATAATGTTTCTTTTTAGTTAAAACTTTAGTTGAAAAATGTATAGATTTAAGAATTTAAAATATAAACAGAGTTAGCGACATAGTCATGCGGATAGAGAATAATTAGGTCATTATTTATTCTCAAGTTCAATCCCACTTAGAAAGTTTATTCTGAAAACTTGGAAAACTCTCATAATTTGCTGAAAGAACGCTTACGTAATCCAGCTGATCTGAGTACTTGTCGAACAGTTTCAGGTGAACTTGAAGAAGAAAATTTTTCAGTAAATTCTTTAGAAATCTTTACAGCAATCAAACGTGGATTTTTCATAACTTTTCTAACTACACTCATGTCCATAAATTAAGAATAATTCGGAGTCACGCGGAAATCAAATTCTAAAATAAATATATCAACTGTAAAATCACTACACACATCTTCAAGAATCATATGCAAATTTCAGGAAGTAACCAGATGACACCGATGGTACGTCACAATGACGAGAGTGTAAGAGAGTGATATATAAGGACTACAGGCAAAGAAGTAAAATTGTTCGCAGGCGCTTTATAAGCATTTCAGTGCAATAACCGAATAGTTATGACACAAAGGGCGCATTTGGATGATATACGTGGTAGAATTATTGGCCGTCTGGAATGTGGGCGTACCCAACTGAAAGTATCAGACGAACTTGGAATTGCCAGAGTGTCATCTCCAGGCTTTGGCAACGATTCCAAGATGATGGTAATGTGAGTAGACGTTACAGGACAAGTCGCCCCAGAGTTACAACGCCGAATGAGGACTGGTATTTGGCAGTTACTGCCAAAAGAAACAGGCGGAGCACAGCCTCAGACCTGTCTCGTCAGCTCTCTTCAGCCACTGGTACGACAATTTCAAGGCAGACCGTGTACAGACGCTTAGGGCAGATTGGTCTATATGCTCGTAGACCTGTCAGATGCGTTCCACTTACTGCAACTCACTGTCGCCAGCAGTTAGCCTGGAGTAGAGAGCATGCATTGTGGACACCGCACCAGTGGGCTTGTGTGATGTTTTCCGACGAGTCCAGGTTTAGCTTGCAGTCTGATTCTCGCCGGACTTTCATATAGAGAGCTCCAGGTACCCATTACCACCAAAAAAACCTCATTGAACGACACCGTTACGGTGATGCAGGAGTGCTTGTTTGGGGTGGAATTATTCTGCGTTCCAGAACTGACATGCATATTCAAATTGGAACCATGACAAGCCAAATCTATCGGGACGTCGTTCTGGAACAACGGGTACGTTTGTTTCGGGGCGCCATGGGCGCACAATTTGTGAATATGGATGACAACGCCCGTCCTCACCGTGCAAACATCGTAAGCGAATGCCTTCAATCGGAGGATATCATCCGTATGGACTAGCCAGCATTCTCGCCGGACTTGAATCCAGTAGAGCACGTGTAGGACATGCTTGGCCGACGAGTTGCAGCCCGTCAACCTCCTCCTACATGTCTACCGGAACTTCGGAGAGCATTGCGTTTTGAGTGGTGTAATATCCCTCAAGATCAAATCGATAATTTGATACTCAGCATGCCTAGGCGTTGTACGGACTGTATTGCATCGTCTGGGAGACATACAATGTATTAGCAATCATAATAACCATGTAATGTTGGTTTTTTGTAAATAGGGTTTTTTTTTTTTTTTTTTTTTTTTTTTTTTTTTTTTTTTTTTTTTAATTTGCTCCAGGGAGAAAAAATCGCTAATTTATTTAATAATATCAAACATATAGCATCTTTTTTTTGCTCTTTACCTTTTGTTTAATAAATAAGTTTTACAAGTAAGTCAAAGTTGTTTTGCTTCTAACTCTTCCTTTGCCTGATTTTGCATTATCCTTAATTTATGGACATGAGTGTATAAATCTCTGATCATGTGGAATTACTTTGCCGGAAGACCTCTTGTTACTTTATTTTTTCGATCAGGTTTCCTTCTAAAAGCGTTTTATCACATAGTGCACCGTAGACTGGGTTAAATTTACTAATTTAGCGATATGCCGGATCGATTTTCCATCCTTATAAAAAACGATCAATCTTCGAATGAAATTTATTGTTTCCTTACAACTACGACCCATTTTTAAATGTTAAATAAAACATGACGAAGTAAGTAAGCAAAGAACAAAGTCAAGCGAATTTTGAAACGTCATTAAATGCAAAAATAAAAAAAGAGTGGCGGACGATAACTTATGAAATTTTACGAAAATGCTTCTTTGTAGATCACTTTTGTGGTGTGTTTTATCTATGCTTCTTTACATATTTCAATTGTAGAATTGTTTTATATATGCTTCCTTAGGTAATTGAATTGTATCTATGCTTCCTTACATATTTCAATAAATTTCAATTGTAAAATACTTTGAATAAAGTCAGCATTAAAAAAAATTTAGTTTTATTCCAAGTCGCATGGAGATGATATGAAAAATATGGGCTTTATATTCTAATTGCGTTTCGGGCTACACGCGCTTTTTCTACAAATTCTTAAGTGTACGAACATTTGTTAGAATCATTGTGTGATAAATATCGATAGTTTGACAGCTTTTCTTAAAAAAAGGCGTTAAAACCACCAATTTGCACCCGCTAAGTAACTCACCTTCTTACCTGTAAAAAATCGCCTAATTGCGCCAAAGGTTGCTTAATACGTAAGTATCTAAACTTATTTCACTTTTAAGGAATTAAGCTGGTGTCTAATTGTAAATCATGTTGTATGATTTATTTTTTATTTTTGCATTGACAAATTGTACGTCTCTATTCTGTATATTTTTAAACGTTCTTTCGTTTTCTATTATTATTATTTTTAAACGCCTGCCTTACTAGAAATCCATTTCCAACCTCTTAATGCAGACAGAATTTTAATTACACTTTTATTAACTGAGAATCATATCTATGTTTATCTTTTAGAGCAGATTTTGGAAACAACAACGCATAATGGATTTCCAGTTATTGTCTCAAGGGATGTACCTAATCTCGTTGGATTCGTGCTAAGAAGAGATTTATGTTTAACTATTGGTTAGTACATTAATTTGTAACTAATGTTTTTATACTTTATCGTGTAGGATTTATAACAGTTTTTAGTGCAAAAATATTAAAAATAAAAATAAAAGAATCGAGAATTAATCAAAAAATAAAAAAAAAATTAATTTAGGCAAAACTTAATTTAAATAATAATTGAAGAAACATACGTTTGGCTAACGTAATGACCTAATAATAAAAAGATGTAAAAATATTTAATTGGAATGTTACTTATAGAGTGAGGCATATAAGAATGTAGCATGTCTAAGCTAATTTCACGACATAAATTTTGACTGTCACGTAAAGTGAATGGCATTAAGTACGATAGCCTTTAAAAGAAGCACATCTTTTCTTTCTCACATCAATTATATAACAAGCATGAATAATATTTTTAACGTAATTAAAAGAACATTTTTCTGTTCTTAAAAGAGTTTTAATTTGATATCATAAGCAGTTAACCCTTGAATAACATTTATGCTGAGTATATATTTGTGAAAATTTTGTTCAATTTTCACTCGCAAGAAATCCTTAGATGTTTCATTTATCGTATCTGCCATATGTCTATAAAATATGTTTTTTAAAATCGATTATTTACAATCACCATCAAAGCTTTTATTAATTACCGTCTGCTTTTCAACTTAAGATTATTTCTACTTCGCATTCCTTCTTTTTGCGATTCATGTAGCGAAATCTTTACAGACAAGCAAAATCTCAGTTTGTACTACATTGAAAAATTCGACAACAGCGGTGTTAACAGAGAAAATATTAAATATATTTTAATATTATAATATTAAATTTCAGTTATTTTAACTTCGCAAGGTAACCGGTTATATGTCTGTGTCCATGCCAAATGTGAAATGTGAACAAACTTTATAATGTCTTAATTATGCCATGTTAACTCAAAATTCTTTAGACCCTAAAAGACTGACAAGAGAACTATTGCTGCATCTGAAGTGTTAAGAAAATTTTAATAACCATTTTATTAAGTGTTGAAAGGAGCAGAAAGCACAACTTACGAGTATTTAAAACAATGAAGTTGAAATTTCAAATTAATGGAATCGTACAAATTTGCAATAAATAAAAAAAAGCCTACTTAAGCTGGCTGAAAACTTTTATGGCGCGTAATAAAGTCGGCTAGCAAAATGGCGAAAGCCCGAATATATACGGCAGAGATGGGAGGCGGAAAAAATAAACTGCGAACGTCGCTGCCAAAAGCTCTCTCTCTCTCTCTAAAAGCTTTCTAAACCCACGACTTAAATACAATTCAACTTAATTTGCATCCTGATGAGGATTACGGAAAGCAGAAGTTTAAAATTAATTGGTTAGCTAACACTAAAATACCGTACAAACTTATTAAGCATATTATAGACTGTTTGAATTTATATTACATTATAATATATGCGATAAAAAGTTCCAGATGCTTTTATACAAAGAAAATGCAATCATGGCCGATTGATATAGTTTTTTTTTGGGGGGGGGAGGAGACACTGCATTATTGAAGTAAGTATATGAATAAAGCTGGCACAAGAGTGGCGTTATTTGATTAATTTCAAGTATGCATTTCACATATTTAGCATTTTAGTTGGGGAAAGAAGAGGGAGAATCGGACTACACCTTGATTTAACGAAGACAGGCGTAAGAGCAGCAAATTTTATGTTACTGATGCTAGATTAAGAACGAAGAAGTTACTTTTTTTCTCAACAGATAAACATACTTTGGCCGCATTACTTTTAGCTTATCAAAGTTTTGGTTTGAACACTATTGGGTAAAGGCCTTCAGTTACGTATATGCGTTATGATAGCTATTAATTTTGGGACGACGCACAAACTAATTAGTCTTTTTTTTCACTACCTTTAAAATAAAAAGAAGAAACAAGCAAATTAAAAATGAATTTAGTTGCTCTTAAAATAAAAGTTCTAATTTTATCTTATATATAATTTTATCTTATATAACTGCTTGGTAGAAAGAAGGAACTTACTGACAAACGTAGCCGTAGATTAATAATCTGAATAGTAACTACGTTTCAGATTTATTCTGGAAAAACTAATTGTTTAGATGCATACTCTGATTCACATATCATTATGGATGCAATATGCATCCCACAGTTTTGGAAGTGTACAGCTTAAGACATAACAGTGGATGATAGAGAGAAATGGGTCACAGCGTATTAGTAGCAGGTAAGCTACTAATATGAAAGTGCGGAAAGTGTCAGCGCATTCAGAAGAAACGTAGGAGAGCGATAAGGGGCTCTGGTTTCAATTCAAATCTTATTCAGTTACTGGCTGAATGGTGTCTGTAACATAACGCAAGAGTGTTGACGCAAGAGAATACCTTATAAGGTAGGCTACTCCCTAAAAAGGATGCACAGATTAAAATGTACAAAATACTATCTAAATGCACAAATTAAAATTTAATAAAAATTCAAAATATAAAGACAATGCAAACATTTTTTAAATTACAAAATTTAAAGAATATAAAATTGTAAAAAACTGTTGAAAATTTCGTGGTCTTTTTCAAACAGCAGCAAAGGAATTGTTAACTGAGCCAAAAAACTGCTTTTATATTTTCAAATAAATTTTCCAGTGATAGAACCATTACAATAAAAATGAGTTCAAGATATGTTTACAAGAGACATAAACATAATTAACTATGAAATGCACTGTTAGTTATACGTGTGTGAAAATTTGGTATTTGAAAAAAGAAAAACAGTATACATACCATTACTTTTCTCTCGTATTAATTCCTGTTCGAGTTAAAGAAACTTGAAATCTTTCGAACTAAATAAACTAAGACCAGGAATGTTAATATTTCGGAAAATCCATCACTTGATCAAGTTTTGAAGAAGAATTTGAAGAGAAATTCTATCTGGTGCAGGAAGCGTTTCGGCCAAGTACACTGCGCAGGAAAAAAAAAAAAAGGACAGTTCTATATTTTCCGTTCTACTGGGCCGATAGACGAAAATCAATAAAAAATGCGTTTTTTAGCTCTCGAAAGCGCGACTTAGAATATATATTACATTTATATATTGTCCTAATATAGGTATTTTGACACAAAATCGGACTTTTTCTGAAATAACGTACCAATTTTTTTTTCATTCTACGACTCAAATTACGCCAAACTACCAAGTTTTAAAAATCGCACGAGTAGTTTTTCAAAAATTAGCTCCTCAGTGTTAATTGAGCTTGGTATATATTTATTAGTACCTTTTTTTTATTTGATTCTTCCTTTCACATTTCGAAATTTAGGTTCGTTCCAAATAAAATTCGTCATTTTTATGATTTATTTTTTAAATTTGTATTTTTAAATAAAATTTATAAATTTTTCGAAAAACATTTTCAATTATAATCTATACAAATTTTACCATCATTTTAAAGTAGACGTATTTCTAAGCATACCTGCAAAAAATTACAGTTTTTTGTTCAAAATTTCCGAAGATATACGTGAATTTATATATTGGCGCGTTCTGAAATTTGGCATATTTGTGGAAAGCGATAAAACATCAAATGTGGTTTAGACACTTAACTAAAATTATTTGAGAGTAGGAATGATGTGACTTTTTTTTTTTTTTTTCGCTCATGCACAATGTAGAAAGGTAGGGACGAGATGCCTTTTTTTACGCTCCAGCATAATGGAAGGGAAAGGAAAATGGGTTGCCATATATTAAGAAGTTTGCCAAGTGAATTATTCTTGACGCTAAACAAAAAAATTGCACAAAGATAAATCTTTGAATTTCTCCGTTAATTTCGCACCAAATTTTACAAAATTTACCATCTAGGCATAATTTGAATCGTAAAATCGAAATATGGAAAAAATTGGTATGTTATTTCAGAAAAAGTCCGATTTTGTGTCAAAATGCCTATGATAGCAATGCTATATATAAATTTAATATATATCCTAAGTTGTGCTTTCGAGACATGAAAAACGAAATTTGAATTTCGTCAATCGGTGCAGTAGAACGGGAGATATAGAACTGCCCCCTTTCCCCCTCCCGCAATGTACAATGGCGTCTTCTTGCTTTCCAAAAGGGCCCACCAGCGGCCGAGCGGTAAAGTCGCTGAACACTGGTAGTTCGGTCCGAAGTTTGAAACCCGCGAACGGGCTGGTTGCATGGACGTTTTCGTGGTTTTCCCCACGTGTAACGTGTATAGGAGCCAGTTTCCCTTAGAAAGTCCTCCACGAAGGCATCTCTCCCCTTAGGCAAATAGCCCTAGTGTGCTTTGCCATAATTAAGTAAACCAAACCAAACCAAATCTTACTTTCCAAAAAAATTTCTTTTGTTGTCCAAGGTCTTCAATTTGCATAGCTTTGATTATAGCTTAGCTGGAATTTGAATCCTTTTTGCTTCATGCAGTTAGACGCTTGGAGCTGATAATACCAATAATTTTTTGGTTCATAGAGAAATTCGGAACTGCGACCTCGACGATATGATTTCTTGATGAACTCTCATCTACATAATTGAGTGGTAGTTTATGTTATTACTATGAGAAATAAAGGGTAGTTTTCTTTACTACCGCAATTTTTAGAGGTTGAAAACAGGGCATCCGTTCTCTTCACTCACGATTTAAAAAGAGAAAAAAAAAAAAAGAGGGGGGGGAAGTCCTGTAATCAACCAGTTATAGAAATGTAAGAAAATTAGTCTTTCAATTATTTTTAATCCTAATCAGAAACTATTTAGATTGATTGAATTCATATTATATATATTGGTCCTCGTAAAATCATATCAACAGGCATTGAGAGATTTTAGAAATTTGAATCAGTATTTAATCTAATACAAATATCATAAAAGTAAAATTATATTAATTTATTTCTTTGAAACTTCAAGTATCTGTGCGGCTACATAATTATTGACAGTCACCGTCGCAAAGCTTTGGTATATGAATCATGCAAAAGATAGGGACGCATACATACATGACTATAATTATTCTGAAATTTTATAGAATAAGTGGGCGAAATATGTTTTTTATTGAATTACTTGTTTACCTTAATCTTTGAATAAA